GTGTTGAGGTCTCCCAGGATAACTGTGTGAGGTCTTATTTGTGATTTGTGTTTTAATGTTTCTTTTACGAATGTTGGCGCCTTTGTATTTGGGGCATAGTTGTTTAGAAGTGAGACTTTTTCCTGATGGATTTTTCTGTGTTGAATATGAAATGACCTTCTTCATCTCTTTTTATTGATTTTAATTTAAAGTCTAATTTGTTAGATACTAGGATAGCTACCCCAGCTCATTTCTTGGGTCCATTTGATTGGAATATCTTATCCCAACCCTTTACTCTGAGGTAATGTCTGTCTTTGAATTTGAGGTGTGTTTCTTGTATGCAGCAGAAGGATGGATTCTGTCTTTGTATCCACTATTTTAGCCTGTGTCTTTTTATTGGCAAGTTAAGACCATTCATATTGAGGGAAATTAAGGTCCATTGAGGGTTTATTCTTGTTTGTTTTTGATTTGTTGTTGGTAGTGGTATTGTATGTGGATTTACCCGGCTTTTTCTTTTGTGTTTTGATAAAGTGGGAATTTCTATTGCCTATGTTCTTGTGAGTGTAGTTAATTTCCTTAGGTTGGAGTTTTCCTTCCAGTACTTTCTGTTGGGCTGGGTTAGTGGTTACATATTGTTTAAATCCGGTTTTGTCGTGGACTATCTTGTTTTCTCCATTTATAGTGATTGAAAGCTTTTCTGGGTATAGTAGTCTGGGCTGGCATCTGTGTTCTCTTAGAGTTGGTAAAATATCTATCCAGGTCCTTCTGATTTTCAGAGTTTCCATGGAGAAGTCAGGTGTAATTCTGATAGGTTTGGCTTTATATTTTTCTTGGCCTTTTTCCTTTGCTGCTCTTAATATTCTTTCTTTATTCTTCATGTTTGGTGTTTTAATTATTATGTGATAAGGGGACTTTCTTTTGTGGTCCACTATATTTGGTGTTCTGTAGGCTTCTTGTACTTTAATTGGCATGTCTTTCTTTAGGTTGGGAAAGTTTTCTTCTATGATTTTGTTGAATATGTTTTCTGCACCTTTGAGTTGGCTTTCTTCACCTTCTTCTATAACTATTATCCTTAGGTTTGGTCTTTTCACAGTGTCCCCTATTTCCTGGATATTTTGTGTTAAGGATTTGTCTTTCCTTGATGAATTTATTTCCTCTAGTTTATCTTCAGAGTCTGAGATTCTGTCTTCCATCTGATGTATTCTATTGGTTATGCATCTGTGGTTCCTGATTGTTTACTCAGCTTTTCCCCTTCCAGCATTCCCTTGGTTTGTGTTTTCTTTATTGTCTCTATTTCAGTTTTGGTCTTGAGCCATAATCAACTCCTCTGATTCCCATGCCCAGTGTCTTCAGCAGTAGGGATGTAACCTCAACCTCTGAGAGTCAACCCAGTGCAACGGAAAGAGTTTATATTGTTCTAGGATCACTAGATCCTTCCTAAACAACAACTCAAATGGCAAGATTTAAAGGGATTCTAATAGCACTCATAACTTAGAAGTAAAAACAGCTATCTAATTGGACTTAAAACCTCACTCAACAGGAGGGAAATCATGCCTGGTATTGGAAACCTAACCTATCGCTTGGTGCTAGTAAAGTCATGGGTCTTAGAGAACCTATTATCAGATGAGCATAATTCCTAAGTGCCTTCTACAATATTCTTATACCAACAGATTATTTAGTGCAGCTCCCAGGCCACATCAGAGAAGCTTCTCTTTGCAGCAAACAGTTACTATCACAGAAAACCAAATTGTTCATAATGCAGAGATCAATTGATTGTGGGGTACCAAGGCCCAACATACACACCTCCAATACAAATCCTGCCCCCAAAGCTCAAGGCACATCAAAGAAGAGATGGTGGGAAGGTTGGAGAAGCCAGAGGACCAGGAAGTCTGGTGTGAGATTAGATCTCTTAGAAATGATGTGAAATCTACACTCATGATGCCTCAACAATATGGCTGCCTCAATAAGAAATGAACAAGAACAACAATAAACACACTACATGTGGAAGGGGAAATACTGCAGGATCCAGACCCTAAAATATGAACTATAGGCACAAGGACTATTCAAAGAATGACAGATAGTTTGCCCAGGGATGAGCCCCTAAATGGTTATTTAGTACAAAGTGGTCATCCCTGAAGTTGTATATACATAAGTCACACGAGACGGACTGAACACATTGTTTGTATAGATTTGGGATGCGTAGGGAAGTGGGAATGGATCTGGAACAAGTGGAGGGAAGTATATATGATCAAAATACACAGTATAAAATTCTTGAAGAACTAGTAAATATGATAATAATAAAGAGAAGGAATTGTTAGTGTCAGCTATATGCAACTGTTGGTGTGCATTAAGCAAAATACTTAGTTCTCTGAGAAGCAAACCCTGCAAAATTGTTCACTCTTGGTATTATGTCACAGACTGTCAGTGCCTGACTTGCTCTCTTCTAACAAATACTGACTTTTAAAATCATATCCTTTTCTTTGTGGTGAAGATGATGACAGAATGCCACGTGAGTTATTGCTGGCAGCCTCTGGCTCACTGCAGGACCATCCAAGAATGAAAGGACTTGCATTGGCAGCTGGTACATTCATTATTAACCATAAGGAATCATATGCTCTTCTAATTTAATTGTTAAAGGAGATTTCAGTAACTTTGAGGATATGCTATGTCTCCTAAAAGAGTCAGAACAGAAAACTGTTTATAAGAGAGAGAGAGAGAGAGAGAGAGAGAGAGAGAGAGAGAGAGAGTTACAGAGATGTGGGACCTTGGGTAGACACTGTCCAAAAGAGAAATACACTGTCCAAAATAGAAAACATCTATTTTTGGTTCATTAACCTTTCTGTGCACCTTCTAGCTAATTTATTACCATTGTTGCCTGGCTCTGTGATTATGCTTGTAGGAAAAATACTTTGACATTTTTCCTTATCAATTTGTAATGTTATTTCTCTACTACATTATATATTAGCACAACACTCCTGGCAACAACCAGAGTTTATACTTTCTAAAAGCCATGGTTTTGAGTTATACAAATGCCCTGTCCCTGACTTCTTTTCTGCCAATACAATCATTTCTGTATGTAGAAAATTATATTCTAGTTATTAAGAACATGAACTGAGAACCGAACAAAAACAAAGGGGATGAAAAAGCCCTTGGGTGTTCTGCAACAAGCTTATGACAACTCTACACAGCACTGGAGTGTGTGTGTGTGTGTGTGTGTGTGTGTGTGTGTGTGTGTGTGTGTGTGTGTGTGTATGTGTGTGTGTGTGTAAAGAAGATAGGAAAAATGGACTAATGAACTTCACTAAAGGAAAATGAGCAAGTGGCATTCTTCAGACCATTCAGAAGCCTTGATTTATGCACCTAGAGTAAGGAGGGAAGAAAACACTTGTTGTACTGGTCCAGCTTGGTTACTCAATCTGCATATGAGATGCTATGAAGGAAACTACTGCATTGAAAATGAAGTTCATGAATTGCATGAGTTTATTTTGGGGAGAAGGCAGGGAGCAAATATAAAATGTTTATGTAAACAAAAGCAACAGAAAGATAGCAATAGTTGTATCACTCAGAGAGACAAAACCCCATTTTTTATATCGTCCTTCCCTACCAGGTAACTCAATTTGTTAGGATAACATGAGTCTTCAGCAAAGACCAAGAAAATCAGGTAAACAACTATAGATAATTGACTTACACTGTGAGCAACATGGAATATTGTATCACTTGGGAAACCACTATTTGTGGAACATTTAATTTAATCACCTTCAACACTCAGTCTTTATAGTCATCCTGTGTAGAAGGTATCTTGATTATTTTCCCACTTTTCAATTGAAATAAAAAATAAAACTAGTAAATTTAGATGAATAGTCCTTTATTTACACTCAATAATGAGGTTCAAGCCATCTTGCTATGGAGACTTGGCTGGTATCTCAGAGGGTAAAATCCTTGCCTTACAAACATGATGACCTGAATTAAATCCCTGGAACCCATGTACAAACCAGGTGTAGGGCTAGGGAGATGGCTCACAAGTAAGGAGATGTAGGCTCAAATCTCTAGAACCCATATAAAAAGCTGGGTGTGGTCACTGTGCATTGTAAATCTAGGGCTTACAGGGGAGGACAGAGACAGGATGGCTGCACTTGATGGTCACAAACCCAGCTCCAGATTTTGTGAAAGACCTTACATCAAGGGAATAAGACAGGAAGTGGTAGAGCAGGACACTCAGTGTCCTTGTTGGGCCTTCATATACACAAATATGTGTTCATGACACACATGTGCAAAAACTACACAAAGCACATGTGTTAGCTGTGTGTGATCCTGGTGCTGGAGAGGTTATGTCAAGGGGGTTGCTCTCAGGCTTTCTGGCTAGCCAGCCTAGCCTAATTGGTGAGCTTCAGGCCAAGGAAGAAAGACTTAGGACAGTCAAGATTGAAATCTGACATGTATGTACACATGTACACACTTGAACACATGCATATGTGTATACACCCACATAAACATTCATGAGAGCATGCATGCATGTGCACGCTCATGTACACACACACACACACACACACACACACACACACACACACAGAGAGAGAGAGAGAGAGAGGCTTGCAAGGTATGGCTACTTAGAATTCAAGAATGTAGCAGAAATGGGGAAAGGTTACTATTAACTTTCTAACCTACCTGTCTCTAGTAGATGAGTAAATTTTCAACCCAGAGGTACCCACTCTGTCCTCATAGGAGAGGAACATACTTATATCTCAACACAAGGGACAGAAATAATCCGACCAGATTTGGACTCACAAAATTCCCCCAGTTTATCACTATACTCTTACACCTGTGTAAACTTATTCTTATCCAAGACTATGAACTTCCAACAAACTCAGCATGAAAATGCACAGGCTTACTAATTTTAGGGCCCTGTTTTCTTGTGGAGACTCCTCCATTTCATAAAATTGTATGCTTGAACCAGTTACTTTCTATTGTTTGGATAACCTACCAAAGGCAACTTACAGGAGAAAGGGTTTATTTTAGCTTACTGTTGCAGAGGGATGGAGTCCAACATGATGGAACAGGCAAAGCACAGACAGGAAGTTGACTGACCACAGTTTCTCCACACACAGGAAGCACTGAGGGGTGGACAGGAAACAAGGTGAGGCTATGCAATCTCAAAGCCCACCCCCTAGTAGAATACTTCTTCTAGCAAGGCTCTATTTACCTCCTAATCTCCTGAAACAATGTCATAAACCAAGTGTTCAAATAGATGAGCCACTGGGGGACATTTTTTCATTCAAACAACAATGCTTTTCTTGTATTGGTTTATCATTTTTTATGGGGATTTCATTCATGAACCAAGTCATAGCTTTGGAAAGATCTTGTCTTCTCTCCATGCATAACACAAAGTCTGGCCCTACATCCACAGGCCCATCTCCAAATCCCATGCTTTCACATCACATTCAAAGAGTCATTCAATTTATGGTGAAGTGTGAACA